CCATATTCTCAGACAGAATAACATTAGTCACAACGTTTCTTCACTAAGCTGTTTACAGTCACTCTTAGGAGTGTTGTACCTTCAAGTACTTAATACGATAAGCTTAGCTGATGTGCAGTTCCACCAGGTGTTTGCTAATCATTGCTGGCTCATCTGAAAGATCTGAATGTGGAAGTGCAGGGACGCTCTGTGAGGCGGAGGGCTTAAGAGGTGTGAATGTGAAATCATGTCATTTAAAGTCTACCAGTTGATTGATTCCTTAATTGGATGGTGTTAGAAAATGGGTGGATGGATGGATGGAAATAAAAACAGACATAAATGCATAGAAGTTAAATCTTCAAAAACAGTGAGATATCAAAGGGTTTAATCATGTGAAGATAGCTTAATGAATGTGACTTGTTAAAAGTTAAATGAAGTTTGTAGATTGAAGTAGGCAGAAGCAGTAAGCGGTGAAAGAATTTCTGCAGATTTTTTCTAAATGTTAAAGATTTTCATTGCATTTCATTGGGACACAAATTTTAAATATTTAAAATTATTACAGCTGCTGAAATTACCAGAAGATGTAGTGTATCTCTCCCAAATGAAGCTGACCATTTTAATCATATGAGTTGTTGAAGTTAATTGAAATATTGGAAGGTTTTTAAGAATCATAAAATGTATGAATGAAAAAAAAAATCTTAATCAAAAGTATCAGTTATATTTTTGGTGATATTGGCCCAGCATTTACTTAGTATCATATCAATGCTAAGATATGCTTCACTATCTTTTGTCTTTGAAAGAGAGATGATCAGATTTACTGTAGAAAGTCTGCAGTTTTGCTGGCAGGTCACCAAGTAAATACATGGCTAATATCAAAATACCAATTGTGGTACTGATATTTTTTCCTAAAATTTTATTATTTATGGTTTTTTTTTTTTACCAATCTGATTTCAGATTACGATTATGATAAAATACAAGGCAAAGATTTTTTCCAAATAAGTAGTTTTCTTTATTTACTAACTACTATAGTATTGCTAATTTTATCTTCTTCTACCCACAGGAGAGTTACTGTGAAGCTGCATTCATTGGGTGATTAAAGAGATTGTATTTGAAAGAAAGCAGACATTTTTAATGCAAATCTTACAAAAGTATAAAATCTTGCTCTCACAATAAAAATGTAAGCTCTGAATATTTGACGTTTTAATTTTGCATATGCATACAAATTAAATTTTGCCTTTAATGGGTTTTTTTTGCTTGTAAAATATGGATAAATATACTATCTTCGTGTGTCGTGAACATACTGGAATTTTTTCCAATATGACACAGGAAATTAATGTAATTTTAGTAAATTATAGTATTTGTTCAACATAATAAAAGAAAAACTGCAAAAACCATTAGTGATCTCATCACAAAAGTACTGATCCAAAACTAATACTTACTTACCTTAGTATTGATAGTTTAAATTGATACATCCAAACAGAACAACAGGCCTACAGTTGTAGAAAAATAGATTCTTCTGAAAACATCATAGTCACATTAAGTGTTTATTGAACATGTTTCAGAAGGGTTCTTTCAATAAGTACATTTTGATTTTGCTTCTCAAAAAATGCAGTATTGTTTACAGGAAATATGAAAAAGCTGAAAGTGTTTCAGTTTCTGACATAGTTAACACATAAAATAATCAATACTACCATGGGAATGGAGCTTGTTGGACACAAGAAAATATATGTAAGTTTATGCCAATAAATTTTTTTTGCTCACCTTAATTTGAAGAAACAAGTAAAGTTATGCAAATAAGCATAAAATAAATAACATTACCAGACAAAACAATGCAGCTATGGTAGATGTTTTTCAGTTAGGAGCTCACATGTTTACAGAGGAACTCAGTGACGTACTGTAGCTTCCTGAACAAGCAGCTGAGCATTCAAATATTTATATATAAATACTACTAAGACACTTACATGCTCTCATATACCCTTAATTCATCTTTAGTTGCATTTCCATTACAAATGTCCACAAATCTTTGTGGACATTGGAAAAGGACAATTTTGCAGTTGTGGTATTTCCATTAAGTGAGAAACACAATTTAAATCACATGTGAGTAAGCTTGTTTCTTTAAAAACATGCCATGTCATCCTCCTTCTACCACTTCTTTTCGTCTTCTTTGCCTTTTTTAAAAGAGCAACATTTGTTTGCTGATCATGTGACTGATCTGTGTGATGCAGAAAGTGTTTCCATTGCAGTTTTGTGACATACACTAATTTTAATACAGCTGAAAAACCACCTTAGCCTTGCGCAAAAACTTTTTATCAAAAAAGATTTTTTAAATTGGCATGTGCTGATAAAATAAAATTATTTTTGTAAACCCATTTTGCACAATTCCATTGCTGATAGAAACACAGCTTCTGACTGCAAAACGAGCTATGTGTGATCTTTAAAGTCTGTCTTTTCTGGTTCATTGGAGCTGTTGATTCCGTAGTTTAGGAATGAAAAACAGCAATAAAACTCTTACTGTTCTTAACTAAGTATCCAAACTGATCATCAAGACACAAAAGATGTCAAACACATCAGTCAACTTCACAATTCAGCTCAAAGTCAGACTTTAATCAGGTCAAATGACTGTAATGGGAGGATTAGACTGGAATGTGCACACTACAAGAATCTTCAAGACAGACAGACCTGAAGACAGTGCAGAAAGAACAGGGAACAGGAAACAATGAGGACAGGGTGGAGTTCATAAACAGGTGGAAATACAAGGACAGACTGACTGGAATAGAGAAGACAAACAGGTCATGCTCACAAGGCGGAAAACTTGAATTCAAAGAATCCTGTAAAGTCTTGAGTCGGTCATGCAATTATTACAGAGGAAGTATGGGCAACACGGCTGACTTAGATCAGAGCACAAACCAGGTTGTTGTATTTTAGAAAATTTCACTTAATGGGTCAAAGGTTCATGAATTAACCCAGAAGTTACATCCATCACTGTCATGCTATAAAACTTGTAATATAATAAATTCTTGTGCAGTTTGGCTTATTTCTGAATCATATATTTATTGTAGATATAGCAGAAAGATCCTTTGATGGACTCAATATTTATGTTTTGTCAGAATATTTAGAATTATTTGTATTCACTTATGTAGTTTAATAGTTTTGTGAACTTGAGTGAAATCCAAAACTTGATCCATGGGGTTTAATATAAACAGTGGCATAGTTCTGTATTCATCAAACATTACAATATGCATAGTACAGCAAGGAGAGTGCTGTTGTCCTGGAAACAGCATAGAATATGCTGTTTCATATTCTGTGAAACAGCATAGTTTATTGTCCCATAATGGGGACATTTCTGTGCAACAACAGTAAATAGACTCAAACTAAAATAGGACAAAATATATATTACCTGAATAAACATACTGTAATTTCAACATAAATAAATGTAGCTATAAAAATACTCCAGTCCAGAGGAATGTGCAATAAGTTAGTTCATTTAAAAAAATGTACAAAATGCCAAACTCAGACTTTGTGTAGTTTGATTAACATTGAATTTATTTCCTCACTAGAAACAAACTCAAACGGAATATTAAAATCAGAGATGCAGAGAAAAATAGACTAATATCCAAATGCAACACTGACTTGATCAGCCCCAAATGCCAAGAGTCTTTATAATGGCTTTCATGCAATACCACATTGTATATTGTGTCAAAACAAGTTCACCTAATCTCCATGGTGTAATTCTGTGGTGCATTAAAGTAGAACTCACACTTTTTATTCAAAAACTTGGCAAATGTTATTACATTTAGCTGGTTACCCTGTCTGCAAAACATAGAAATAATTTCTGGAAGACAAGCCATCACCAAGTTGGATGAACCTGCTGAAATTTTTGCAGCGCCAAAATGTTCAGCAAATGTTAACGTTTTGTTTCACCACGTTCTCTTTTCTGTAAACCACATGTGAAAAAACAATTCCCAGCATCTCATGAGAGTGAATGACATTTCAACTTACCATTTCTTCTAAAGGCTTGAAGTGCCTGATCAACCGGGTGTCTGGTTCACAGAGGAAGGTGTGCCAGAAATAATAAGAATAAAAAAAGCACTCAAAGGAATGCCCAGAAGTTAGATCATGAACAATAGCATGTAATTAATCGACAAATAATTACAGTCAAAAGCGATATACATGTCAATGTCATTGCCCTTACAGACTCTGTGAACCTGCTGTTCTACACATCACCGAGTGGAATGAGGCATGTCAGCTCAAACGTCCCCCCGTGGCCCTGTATTTATTGTTTTCGTCAAACACAGAAGAAAAAGAACAGGGAGATTTTGGCTGCAAGTTGGCAATAATTTGCCTCTTATTGTGGAAGCAGTTGCAGCCGACCCTCTGAAAGAGTCAGATTACTAATTTTAGGGAACAAATTTTCATCTTCACTGAAAGACTTGACACTTTTCTGAAGATTTGATTTTGGTCTCAAATGGAAACTTTGATCCCATCTTTTCTCTCCCTTCTCTTGTTTGTTGGCATGTTTACAGTTCACAAGGAATTTGCAGAGGATGTGACTTTTCTCATACATAAAATATGAACTTCCCCTTTTTTTCTTGTAAATCAACACGGAAGCAATAACAGCTGCATTATTCTCACCAAGAAGATATAAAGTTTCCAAATACATTTAATGAATTTTGATGAAGATTTAATTTTTTGCTCAGTATGTTGTGTTTTAATTGAGCCAGCCAAGAAAGATACAAGGGCATTCCTGAAGCTGGATGTATTTGTTCTTGCATCGCTGCCTTAAAATCACAGCTGGTGGTTTCCAGAAAGAAGAACTGCAGACATTTCCTTTACAAAACGTTCTATGGATTATGACAGGGTATCTCTTCCATCAACAGCAACCCCGATGCAGGTGTGACTACTAGACATCACATAATCTTGACTCTGGAATGTTGCCGTGCAAACAAGTTTGGCACCTCCTACCTCTCACTTCAATAAGAACTGGCAGCATTATTTCTTGTTTGCTCTTTGCTGTTCCTGTCTCTCCACCTGTGGATTCTCTTACTGAGAAATCAGAATGAGATACTAGTTTCTCACTTGGATGAATGAAAGGTTTTGTCAAGAAAAGAGACAAAAACAAAGAAAGAAACTACAACCAGAAGAGAAAAAAACAACTGCAATTATTTTCAACCTTCAGCATGTTTTTATCAAAACAAGAGGATCAGCTTGCCCAGGAGCTGAGCTGTCCCATCTGTCTTCAGCTCTACAACGATCCAGTTGTTCTACCCTGTGGGCACAACTACTGTCGAGGTTGTATCTCCAAATCTGGGAACTCCACAGACAGCGGCAAAGAACCTCTACGCTGCCCAGAATGTCGCGAGGCCTATCATGGCGTCGATACCCTGCAGAAAAATTTCAAACTTTCCAACATTGTAGAGGATTTCCAAGCTTCTTCCCAAAACATCTATGAAGAGATTCTGGATGTGATCAAACCAGCAAACCCAGAGACGGGCGATGGCATTTTCTGTGACCAATGCATAGATGACAAGACTCCTGCGGTGAAGACCTGTCTGAAGTGTGAGGTGTCGCTGTGCTTCAGGCATCTCCAGAAGCACAACGAGAGGGAGTCCTTCAAGACGCACTCTCTGGTGGAACCTCTGAAGGATCTGGGGAGCAGGGCCTGCCTCATTCATAACCTACCACTAGAGTACTTTTGTTCTAATGATATGAAGTCTCTGTGCATCACATGTTTGGAAGACCATAATCAGAACCACGACGTCCTCACCGTCAGTGTGGCAGAGGAGGAGATGAGACGAGCCTTGGAGAGCCGGAGCAAGGTAGTTTTTTGATGTATCTGACACAAACTTACATTTACTGTGTTTAGGATGCAAGAACTAGCAGATTTACACAAGACAACATATTTATTATGATGTACAGGTGGCAAATAAAAGGAAGGACAATGTGAAGTTTTTTTATGGTTTTCTAAGGACATTACCGTCAGTCAGTTCAGTGGTAAACACATTAGTTTTTTAATTCTACTGACTACTCTGGACTTTCTATCAGAGTTGGAATGACAAGAATATTCTGGGCAGAGATAAAAACAGAGACACATAGCCTCTATGAAGTTGGGGAAAAAAACTCCTGGTCCCAATATGGTTCACATGCAGTGTTTTGTAAAACATGGCTGAGAACAATGCAAAAACAGACACAAGAGATTACCACTGATGAGAACAGCATGATCACTTCTGACAAGTCCTGTACAGTTCTGCATGACTACAATGCCAGTTGCTCTTAATCTTTTTTCAGTGAAAAAGAAACACATCTAAGAAAGTTGCATCCTGTTTTTCCAGATTCTCTTTCTGTCCATGCAAGGTAAATGTCAACACATTAATGTCTGCAGGTGGTTTCCAGCCGACTGCAACTGACAGAGTGCCTCCTTCAGAAGACACAAGAGGACCAGGGAGCCTCTGAGGCTGTTAGAGATAAAATTGTCAACAAGGCAGTCTCACTTATGGACAGTATGGCTGCAATCGTTGACAGGTAAGGCCCTGTATATTGATAGAAGCTTAAAATGGTGCTACTGTACATTAGGACTATATAAATGCTTTACAAAAGCACAAAACCAATGTTGCATTGGTACAAATTGGTGACTATCTACTTAGCAAATGATTGACAAAAAATCATTGAACTTAGTGGCTATAAGAAATGAGCACTGTAATGGAGGCATCTACCAACATGGAGTCCAGTTGTGTGAATCCCATATGACATTTATTCACTGGCAGCTTTTCTAGGAAGGAGTGCAGCAAATATATGCTTTCCGAATAAAAGCCAACAGTTTTCAGATATGGTCAAACCAAAGTTGTAAAAGTTTTACTGACCAAATGATGACGACATCCTCATGGTCCTTACAATTTAAAATACTGCAGGAACTTACCACAATAATACATGTCTTAATGTTATGTACAGGATGAGAACCAATCAACAGGCTGAAAAGAAAGTTCACAGACTTTTGAACAAACTCATTTACAAAACTTTGAGTAGCTATTTTTCTGCCTTCCAGTGTTAATTAACTGTGCTGAAGCACAGATAAGAATAACTTGTTAGTGAACAGGAACAACTTGTAATTTGGTTTCAAGTGAGTTATTTTTAGCACAGACTTGCTCTGCAACAGTACTGGAGCTTACATACTTTTTTAGCATTATATAGTAATGCTTGTAAATATCAATGTATTTTCATATATAAATAAAAATATATGTAAAACAAAATAGTAAACTGCATCCTCAGCAATATTTACTCTTGCATAAGCTTAAATTAAAATGATAAACTTTTACATGGTGAAGAAGCATGATGATTCCTGGATTTCAGTTAATCAAAATTACTTTTGAACTATTAATGACTTTTTAAACTAATACATAAATACAAGACAAACAAATTTTGAGGACAGTGTTTGTGTATCAGCTTGCAGTATGTTCTGGAGAGATGGCCTTTTGCTTTCACTTTAAAATTTTCAGTGCGTGCATCTAGTCTTTAGCTTCTGGTAATAACTTGAGTAGCAGGTTCAACAAGTGGCATTTGTAGAAAGAAATGCTCACCCATCTTGAGACTTTACTAAGTTGGGTAATGAAAGTGAAACAGTGATCCCATAAACCTTTTATCAGTTAATTAGGCAGACAGTAATAGGGAGGATTTAGTTACTTGATCTAAAAACATCTATATAACATCAGGTGGTACAATAATGTCAGAACTTTGGCATCCAGCTGAAAAGCATGCCAGTTTTCACTGAGTTTTTCTTTTAAAATACTATTGTAAAATGAAAATGACAACCTGTTGGTGACATAAAATGAAACGTGTTGTTTTCAGATTCAGGGAGCGACTGCATTTGTTTTTGGAGGAGGAGAGAGGGCAGCGGCGCAAAAGCTGGCAGCTTGGAATGAGTGCACTGGAGGAGCAGCAGCAGCAGCTGCAGGAGGCCGAGAAGAGTGCAGCCGAGACACTCAGCGAGACAGACACATGTGCCTTCATACACAGGTACAAAAATAATTTGTCCCGCTTTTTACTGAGTGATTCTTACAGTGCCTTGGAAAAATATTTGTACTCCTAGGATTTTTCATGTGATCGGCCCTTTGTAGGAAAATATGATGTATGGAGGAAAACAAACACTGCACATGAATGAGCATATCATCACTGTGAAACATTTTGGTGGCAGCATCACACTATTGGAATGTTTTTTTTTAGCAGGGACAAATAAGGTGTTCTGGGTTGAAGGGAATATGAAAAGTGGTAAATCCAGTGCAAACGTGTAAGAAAACCTGATTTGATATAGAGACAGAGATTTGTATTGTGGCTGAATGAAACATGCAGTATTATATTAGATAAATATAGACTTGAATATTGTGGTTCCATCTCATCTGACTGAACTTGGTTTATTGTACTGAGAAGAATTGTTAAGATTCCAGTCTTTATATATGCAAAGCTGGGAGAGACAAACTTCAAAATACTTGTGCAATTTAGTTGGATATACTCTGAAAAATAGTTTTACTTTTAAAAAAAATATCTACTGTATGTGTTAAGGTTTTTATGCATATTTTTATTTGCATTATGGCTGGATATGATGATAATTTTCTCCTTTTATTGCTCATCAGATTCATGATGATTGAACAGAAACTGAGAGATGCTGCCACAGGCAGTCTTCCCAGCACTTTTCCCTCAAAGGTCGACCTGAACACCAAGCGTCTCCAGACAGAACTCAAAACCAACGACTTCCGCACAGAAATGGTCCATCTCCTTGAGACCCTTCACATCCTGCTCAACCCTCTGGAGGTGACCTTTAACGTCTGCACTGCTCACCCCAGCTTGTTGGTGTCCAACGACATGCACACAGTCCGATACACCAGCTCCAAGCAGTCCTACATAGAGCACCCAGAGCGTTTCCTGAGTGTACCTCAGATCCTGTGCAGCCAGGGTTTTTCCACAGGCACGCATATCTGGGTGGCGGAAATGGGCAGCAACTGCATGTGGTCCCTTGGAGCATGCTACAAGAGCATCCCTCGCCGTGGAGACCACAGCCGCTTGGGGCACAACTTGGTGTCCTGGAGACTACAGTGGAAAAACAGCAAGCTAACAGTGTGCTCTTCATCTAACAATGTTGCGCTGGGGGAGACGTTCCAACATCCATCTAAGATTGAGGTTGTGCTTGACTGTGAAGGTGGAACCCTGTCCTTCCACATTATCAAATCACGCAGAGAACATCTTCACACCTTTAAGACTGTGTTTAAAGAGCCAGTTTACCCAGCTTTTAGTATCCATTCAAATACATCAGATTCTTGGATCACTCTACAAAGTCAGATGTGACACCAACATTTAGTCTGTAACTTTCCCTGTGCATAGATATGTTTGGGGAATTCCTGTTTTTAGATCTCTATTCACACTTTTGTTCTTACCAAATTAGTTTAAATGTTGACATGTAAGTAACTAAAGTATTCCAGGTTTTCTCCCAGAAACTTGTCAACCAAAACTAAGTGTCAGAAACTGGAGGATGATGTTTTACTTTTTTATGAAAACACTAAACATGGCCTGCCTTAAAAGTGTGATTTCGTATTCTGCCATTGTCTTAGACTTATACGTGGAAGACACCCATTTGAATCTCAAGGACTTTTCACATTGCAAATTTCATTCAGACTTAACTGTCCGAATGAAATTAAATCATGCAAAACATGTTGTGCACCCTAGAGACCTACTGATATCTACTGAGGTCCTTCTAATAGACATGGATGGTTGAGCCATCTGACCACCCAACAACCCAAATGACAATATCTACGTTCTATTGAACACATAACTGCACAATCTGACATTTAAAAAATAAATTCACTTAATGGAAACATGCAATTTTTGAAAAGAAAAATAATTCTGATGAAATGTTTTGGCACTATGATGACATACTTTCTTGGGAATATCAAAATGAGTTCATTTCACAAAACTGCAATGGAAATACTGTTTTGCATCAGACGAGTCAAGTAACCAACAACCGGGATGTTTCCACTGTCAAAACCCACAAAGAAGAAAACAGGAAGTAGTTGGTGGATTATGGTGTGACATGTTTTTAATGACTTATTGTGTGAACAAATTTATTCACTTGATTTTAATTGTGTTTCTTATTTAATGGAAACACCGTAATTGTAAAATTGCATTACTTTGACATTAGCGGAATATTGACAAAGTTTTGTACATCTTTGTAATGGAAACTCCATACATCATTCTAGATTAACATCAAATTATTCACTAAGGTGTTTTTTTCTCACCTGCACATCAACATTTCTCTACAGTCAGCTAATGATAACTGACTGTAACAGAGAGGTTGATCTCTGCCTTTGTCACACCCTGGCTGGATTATTGCAGTCTCTGTTGGAGATTTCCAACACAATCCTGGACCAGATTCAGCAGGTCCAAAGCTCAGCTGCTAGTCGACTAATACACACTAAGCCTTGCTAACATATCACCCACTATCTCCCAAACCTCCACCAGCTGCCTGCCAAATACCACATCACTGACAAGATTTTCTCACCTGCAAATCCCTCAGTGTCCTAGGCCGTGGGCACTTGTCAATCCTTCTTCAACCAAACATACTAAGTCAGACACAACAGTCCTGTGTGTCAAGTGTCTATTTTCTGTCGCTTGCACCAACCTCTCTTCCACATCTGAGTTACTAGATGTTCTTTCCTCCTTGAGTTTAATTCTCCTCTATGTGAAGCATCCCTGAGTTTCTTGAAAGTCACTATGTAGATCTTAGGTATCATTGTTTTTATTACTATACAGTTTATATAAAGTGGCATGACTAAGCTAATGTTATTTAGTATTTCATTTAATCATACAAGATGATTTGTGATTGGTTTACAAAAGCAGTATGATTTGGGTGTTTTTGTGGCATACATGCAGTATGACACAGGTTTTTTGTACTTTTTTTGTTATTGTTTTAACATCGGCCAGGTTTCCTTTATTTGATGTAGTTGCTTTTAGCTAAGTGCATTTCCCCTTTGATTTTATTTTTTATTTTCCATACTGACGAGACCACTGACATTTAACATGAGAAATGTTTTGTGTTCAGGGTACAAATAAATTATTTGACACACAAAGTTTGTAATGGTCGTGTCTGTCACTGTCTTTGTCACTGAACCAACATATGAGTAAGCTCAAACACACCACCATCCTGATTGGTTACATGATAGCCCTCAAATATCTGTCTTAGTCCTTACACAACCTTGTGCTGGCCCTGATGACATGTATCTTTTGCATAATTGAATTGCGACCAGGTCTTAGTTTAAATGATAAAAATAATAATAATAATAATTACAAAAATTTGTTAACTTATTAGTTTTTTTTCCCAAAACACGTAAAATTCATAACTTTGTGAATATGTACAGATAGAAACTTTATTCAACCAGTCTATTGGTAATAGAAAATGTTTCAGGTTGATTACACAAATACAGCTAAACAATCTGTGTGGGAAACTGAGACATAATTGAACAGCCAAGTTTAGCAACTGATGAGTAATACAAACTAATACTTTTAACTTTTACTGAAGTAAAAGTTACACTTTTAACTTTTATTCAAGTAAAAGTTAAAAGTGTAAGTTTTTGATTAAAGATACATTTAAAAAAGGAAATTTCAAAACCATTAGGTCATCGAACAAATCAAATGTCCTATAGTTTTGATTAGTTTAGATGAAAATGGGATGGGCCCCCGAATGAGATTCACCATCAGGACCTCATACAACCTTTGGCCGCCCGTGGCCATGCGCAGGCTTTGCATGAACGAACTGACAGTGGGGTTGCCAGGTTTAGATATAATCCCGTAAATATCAAACATTAATTTTACTCAATTAATTTTATCTGTCAGCAGTTTGAGAAAAAAAAACAAAAAAAACAAAGAAAAAAAAATACGTATGTCTAGTTAGTCGGTTGATTCATTTGTGGGACTCCATCCTCCAGGCTTGAAACGCCACAGAGAACGGAGGATATAATACAGGAAACTGGCAACCCGTACTCCCATCTGTCACACATTCTGTCATTGGGCAGGACATAAACATTGTTTCATGATAGCACTAATATTCAGCTAGCAGCTAATAAGTAAGGTAAAGGGGAAGGAGGAGGCATGGGCTCGGGGGAGAGTACGACCAGGAAAGTATCCTTCGGCGTGGATGATGAAGACAGAGTCAGGATTCTCCGCGGGATAAAGGTAATGCTAATTTAGCTAGCGTGCGAAAAGTCATGCTGACGATTGTTTAATGCAGGCCAGCTGGAAGCTTGTTGCTCCAGAACACATACACAACAAACCCTCAGACTGTTGGGAACGTCAGGTGTACCACCTGTGAAGGAGGTCGGAGGAGCTGCGGAGGCGGTGGAGCCCTGGAGGGTCGCTATTCTTTTTCGCCAGACTTCAGTGGATACAAAAGGGCCATAGCAGTTTAATGTAATTATTCGCAAACTAATTAACGTAGCTGTTGGCCAATTAAATATGGAAAAATGTAAGGTATTTAGATAACATCGGCTAAAAAAACTTTCTGTCCAGACTAATATGCTTTACTTTCTTATGACACCTTATTATTTTTGAGCGTTGTAGTATATTTACCAATTATGATGCGAAATGAACGTAAAGTACGGCCACTATTGTAGATGAACTTGCGTGCTGCATTGCTGCTTTGTCATGAATTCATCAGAAAAGTAAATGTCATCATTTCAGTCTGTTTTGTATTTCTTTTAAGGGCTTAAAATGATTAGTTTTTGAATGGAGTTTGGTGAAAGGCTCACAGCATAGCAGTGCTGCATTCGAGGGCGAGTTTGCGTGTCGGAACTTTACATTATTATTAACCAGACGTAAGAAAGGACGGGATATTTTTGTGGTACATTTTGGCAAGACGTTTGACAATGTCAAATCTGCCATTTGTCCTTTTTGTAGCATTGTATGTCCATATTCATGTTTGAAACCTTTCTTTTGGCTTTCCAAATGATACTCAACAGTTCACGTGTTCCAGTCATATTTATACAAATACCTTTTTTAATGTAACTACTCAAATAAAAAAAAAATACACAGAACAGTAGTTTAAACTATTTTTTTTTTTTTTTTGTTTTTTTTGCTTTGACAACAAATGTAAGCTTATTCTTCTGTTGTTCCCCAACATCTTCCACCCAATTTGTGAATTTGTCCAGCCAGGGTTTTCTCTTTGGGGTTTTCATGCATTCGTGGGATCACAGCAATTGCTGCATTGATATTTAATAATTTTTTAAAGACTTATTTCAGAATTTAGACTCATGACTCACTGGAATTAAAATATTTGTGTCTTTTTCTGGAGTTTGGTTTTCTTAAGTTATCCAAAAATGTCTGTTAAGAGCTAAAAGTCAAAGTGATAACTGTGTTTGCCAACTCTGGCTGCACATTCAGATTTAATGAGTCATAGAGCTTGTCAATGAAAGGTCCTTCCCTCTGCGGTTTTATGTGTCGCTATGTTTAACCGTTTCCCATAGAAACATCCAAATGGCTGTATGAGTGGAACCTGGTCCTGTATTTACAGATTTAAGTTTCTCTGTCCTGTTTCTCTTGAATAAATCTGCACCAAATATTGTATATTATTGTTCCATTGTATTGTCTATTGATTAAGATATGAAGTTGTTGGTAGGCTGTCAGTTTATATGCTCTATATGCAGCTTCTAAATGCCTCCTCTTTCCCCCTGGCAGCTGTCAGATGATGTTCTCCAGAGGATGAAAGGAGTGGCTAACATTCCTCCAGAATCCTCATCTTCAGCCACAAGGCCTCAGAAAGAAAAAGGTAAAGGTTTGACTTTAACTGGTCGTTAGCAAAAAATCATATCTGAACTTTACTCTCTTGTTGATGTTGGACTTTAAAATGGAAAAACCTCAGAGTGGTCCAATCATTTCTAATTATAGGATGAAGAAGCAGAGTGTATCAGTAACAAACTCCTGAAAACACACACACGCGCTTGGTATGGAGGAGGGATTACTACAAAGTGCAATTGGCTGCCTTCCTCAGATCAATGTTTTTTTTTTTTTATCTGGATTGATTCTAACACAATTTAGACCACATTGTTTTGAAAGTGCCATGTAATAAATTTTTAATTTGCTGTAAGTTTTTAAATATTTTTACATTTTAAAATTGAATTCAAACATTTTTTGACCCCATGCTGTCGCCTGCTCTGGTCCTTTATGCATTGCAGTGTTTATAGGCAGAATCATTTCTGTTCTCCTTTTTCTTTTTTTTTGTCCGATAAGGTGCTAAATGCAGCGACTAAATCACTAATTTGGCAGCAGGGGGGTGACTCTTATTAAATTTGCGTGTGCAGTTGTAACCTTTTAGACAGTTGCTTTATTGGTGCACCTCTACTGCAGAGAATTCATTATAACCCGTTCTTTTGTATGTCATTCTGTACATTTAAAGTTGCATTCCTTCTGGAAAGTGAATCTCTGCCTCAAGTTGTTTACATCCTCTGACAGCAGTGGAGTCCAAACTTTGTGTCATACGAGCCAAAATTGTCATATCAAAACGACTCGTGGACCAAAAAAAGAATCTGAAACTCCAAAAAAGCCAGTCATATTTATAATATGAATTATGCTCTTCAACATGTAGAATTCAGTCTTTGGAGCTTAATGCACACCAGAAAAAGTACTGCATTGCTGAATTGTCACCATTTTTCACACAAAATGTTTGGCTTTGTGACCAGGTGTCTCTCGCAGTGCCAGCTCAACCTCTCAGGCCCAGGAGAGCCCCCCTCAACGGGCCCCACCCAGCAGCAAATCTGGGAAGACATTTGCTAAAGATGAACAGAGAAGGTGGGTAAGAGGGTCAAATCCAAAACCCATTAATTCCTGGTACACAAATGCAGCATTGATGGTCACATTTAGCTTTATGTATTGCAGCTACCTCACAAATGCAGATGAGAACAATATGGAATATTTATATCTTTAAACCAATCTGGACAAATATTTAGGGAAAGGAATAATATCCAATTTGTGATTATGCATATAAAGCTTGACCACTTTAGAAATATCTGTCATTCATTCATAGTAAAATGTTATAGTTACACCTTTGAAGAAAAGCTCACAAATGGCCTGAACTGTGAATGTTACACCATTTGAGTGTAACAATAACAGTCAGAATTAAAGACTTGTCAGATCGTAAGAAAATGGAGCCTTTTCTGTAATAATTTATGATTTATGTTGTAATGTTTTTTAGGTATGAGCGGCAGCAGACGATATTGAAGGATGAGCTGGCCAAGATGGCGGAAAGAGAGAGGGAGGCAGCGAGAGAGGAGCTGGTTAAAACCATGAGCCGAGAACGACAACAAGCACGAAAGGAAGCAGAGAAGGCTAAAGAATTGGTACATACATACAGACGCACGCACACGTACACACACGCATGCATGCACACAGTTACATCAAGCTCACAATGTGTCTCTTTGTTGGATACACCTTCTCAATCAAATCACAGAACCCAAAGCCCATCCTCTTGAGAAATCTTTCTCTTAGTGAAATCTGTTTTAGAATAATTCCTTACTCAGAAGATAAAAGAATTTGAACATTTTACACAGATCCTCTCTATATAGTCAGGCTGAGTTTGAGCCTTTTTTTGTTTTTTTGTTCCTAAAGGTTTTGTTGACTCTGGTGGTCTTTATTTGACAGTAGTTCAACAGGAAAGAGGATGATGAGAGAAAGGGAAGACATGTGGCAAATTTCTCCAGGCTGGTAATTGAACCTGCGGCCATCGCCATGAGGACTAAGGCCTCCATACATGGGTCGTGGTTTGCCCCTGCGCCACCACAACATGTTAAAATGTATTATTTTCTTTCGTCTTCATACTACCTTTTTTTACACTACTTTTTTTGCCTTATCTTATAAAACACCATACAGTTCAATTAAAAATACTTCCATTATCCCAGAAAAAAATTAAGTTAATCAGATTTCATAATGATTGAGATAATCTGTGTGTTTTTTCAGTTTCTATAGAAACAACAGTCTTAGTTCTGAGAAAAACACAAGAAGCAGAAGGTACTTGTTGTCTTTTCTGTTGCAACCGTCAAAGCTTCCCATTGATATTAATGGATTATGAATCC